AGTTTCAATATCAAATGAGCAAATGGTGAAGTAAAATGCATTTCAACACTTCAAGTTCAGAATAATATTTCGTGACATTTTTTTTGGACAGTTTACAAAGCCGCAACACGTGTTACAACATCTTCCTCAGACATGTTCATACTGATTCAATTCCAATTTGTGCTTTATATAATATAACAATTTGAATCACATACGTATTTATTGATTAATAATTTTACCAAAGTATAGGCATAACATAATTGAAAATTTTAAGCATTACAAAAGAAAGTACCTGCCTAATGACTAATAATTTCACCGAATAAGGGATAAACTAATTGAAAATGCAATAGTTATAAAAGAAATTTTACCCACTCATTACTGAATTATTTACCAATTTCCACATAAGAAAACAGATTCAACAAAGAAGAATATTTCAATTCTATTCGGGAATTCAGTAAATTTTCAGAACTCCTAAATCTATTGATTTCCAAGCATTCCAAAAGATTAAGTTTCAAACCTTGCCCTTACAAATCTAATATATTGCTAAAAGATAGTCATATGGTCTTTTATTCTCTGGGAGGAAGTTCCCCCGTTTGGCCAATATAAATTTTTGGGCAAAAGCCACAACAAGTCAACTTATAAGCTCCTGATCTGTCATACACTAAAGTTTTTTTTATTGTTTTCAATAGATTTGATTGAATCATTATTTGTTCTGTAAGCCACGCCAAAGAAGTTTTGTTTTCAAAAAACGAGCGATATTATTGTTGGTTATCCATAAAAAATAAGAAGTAAATTCAATAAAAAACAATAAAGACAAACTTCAAAGTCCGATAGATCGGGTGTACATAAGTTGACTTCTGGTTCTTGTTCAAAACTTTATATTGGCCAAACGGGGGGAACTTTTCCCAAAGAATAAAAGATCATGTGAGTTTTGTGAATGTGACGAATAGTTACACATTTGCAAATCATCTTTGAGCGCATAAGGTCAATCACGACTATGACCTATTACGGATTTTCATCATCGACCAATTTCATTACACAATCTCAATTGCTCGCAAAAAAATTACAGTGAACAAAGTTACCCCCATTGATCAGAAAAAGGGTATTCCGCCAAATCTTTATAATTATATGTTGTATATATGTATTTTTGATGAAGAAAGAATGTAGTTTAAGAAAAATGATCTTTTGAAGCATTTATTTACTAATGTATGTGTCTGCTTATAACAAACACAAGGGAACAATCGCATCCAGTGAAAATTAATCGGGATAGAATCCCGTAATTAGTGTAATTTTTTAACGGTATTATTTAGCTTGCCCTGTTTGTTTAATTGTTTATTTATTTGGGTCAATTTTAGTAATTGAAGTTTGACCCCCTTCCTGTTGACAGATTGATCTGATATCTGGTACAAACATTTTGTTTTATTGACAATACAATTTAATGAATTCTGTATCATTGTGAATCCAAGATGGCCGCAGTAACAAAATGGCGGATTACATATCGTTTCACAACTACTTCAATATGGTATCAAATGACAGGGCTTGACTAGTACTATAGTAGTATACTATGAATAAGATACAACTCCAATATAATGTATACGAAAAACTTTGTCAACCCAGAATGGGAAGACAAGCATGAATCTCCCACCCAAGTCAAGATTTTGTATCGTGTCGAGGACTGTGTGGCGTTAGGGTGGCTAAAAATGATACGTCGTTAGCGATACACCACCCAAGTTAAGGTTGAAACGTGCCGAGAACTGTGTGGCATTAGGGTGGTTAAAAATGATATGTCGTTAGCGTTTTCCCCTCAAGACTCAGGCAATCTTGTTGTATATAATGCCTTGCCCCTCTATTAGACCTCTGGGGGAGGGGGGTGCGATTATTATAATGTCTATTAATCTAGGAACAGCATGGTGAATAATAATGAAACTAAAACAAACAAAAATGAAATAAGTAAAATAAGTAAAAAAAATGTTTATGTTGAACGGTTTTGAAGGCCGTCGTAGTTTGGAACTGTACCCTAACACGTTTCGCCAGCACGAGTGGCTGGCTTCTTCAGAGGTTTATTCATTTTGATGATTCACCGATGACTGGTGATTTCTCATAGGTTGTATTTATCTTGACTCAGGTAGTTCGCCTCTCTTGTTGTTGTGTTGCTATTGGCCGAAGTGTTATTACCTGTTAATGACGTATCTAATCCCGCCGTACCTGTTAGCGGGTTGTTATTGGTTACGGTATTGCTATTGACTTATTAATGAGTGACCTGTCGTCTCTAAGAGGCGTAACATTGCACTGAGCTGTTGCCACTTTAGCATCTTTGAGTATGGGATTCCAAATTCAGTTTAACGTTACTGCCTCCTCTTTTCTGTTGTAGCTCTCCGCATGTTTATGGATTTCTATGGCTTCCGTACAAGCCGACTGTGGTATCTATGATCGGAGACACAGTTTCACATCTTCAAACAGTATCGTATGATCTCCTTCACTAAACGCGAGTTTCGCTACTGCCGATTTGTCTATTTGACCTAATCTACAGTTTCTCCGATGTTCATTCAGCCTTGTACCCATGAATTTTTTGGTGGTACCGATATAAACGTTTCCACAGATGCATGGTATACGGTATACCCCGCAGCTGATAGGGGACCTCTTTTGTCTTTCGCAGATCGCAGGCTTTGCTGTATTTTCCTGGTGGGCTCGAGCACTGTTTTTATATTATGCTTCCTTAGGATTTTACGATTCTATCTGTAACCCTGGGGATGTACAGTAGAAACGCACGTGCAATTGTTTGAGTTCCCTCTCTATTTTGACTTGTAGAAGTCTACAGTTTCATGGCCTTGTTGATCTCGGTTACACTGTATCCATTCGAACTCAAGACCACTTGAAGATGCTCCAATTCTTCTTGTAGGTGTTCTCGTTCACATATTCTACGGACACGTTCCGTCAGGGTGTTGATATCTTCCCGATTGTGACTTGGATGGTGGTTCGAAAGATATCTGTCCGTATGTGTCGGTTTTCGGTACACTTTATGTGTCAGTCGTGTGCCACGTCTTTCGAGGAGTACATCTAGAAAAGCTATCCGTTGTTACTGTTCAGTCTCTAGGGTGAACTTGATGCTAGGGTGTTGAGCATTTATGTGGTCTAGAAATAGGTTCAGTCTGCCTCCCCCATGTCTCCAGATGACGAAGGTGTCATTCAGGTATCGTGGCCAAATGGTTGGTTTGAAATCGAAAGCGTCGATTGCCTTCTTCTCAAATTGCTCCATAAAGAGGTTGTTTCCCAGTGATATTGTCGGACTTTTCAAAGCCTGCCTCACGGGAAGTTACTTCCAACGGAAATCATATTTCTATGAGCAATTAGACGGCATAGCGATGGGAAGTCCACTCCCCAGTGATAGCCCAGTGATAGCCAACTTCTTCATGGAGTAATTTGAGAAGAAGGCAACCGACGCTTTCGATTTCAAACCAACCATTTGGTTACGATACTTGGATACAATCTTCGTCATCTGGAGACATGTAAGGGACATACTGAACCTATTTATAGACCACATAAACGCTCAACACCCTAGCATCAACTTCACCATGGAGACTGAACAGAAACAACGGATAGCTTCTCTAGATGTACTCCTCAAAAGACGTGACACACGACTGACACATAAAGTGTACTGAAAACCGACACATACGGACAGATATCTGCATGCAGTTTCGAAGCATCATTCAAGTCAAAAGTGGGGAATTATCAACACCCTGACGGAACGTGCCCGTAGAATATGTGAACCAGAACACCTACAAGAAGAATTGGAGCATCTTCAAGTGGCTTTGAGATCGAATGGATACAGTGTAACCGAGATCAACAAGGCCATGAAACTGTAGACTTCTACAAGTTAAAATAGGGAGGAAATTCAAACAATTGCACGCGCGTTTCTACTGTACATCCCCAGGGTTACAGATAGAATCGGAAAAATCCTAAGGAAGCATAACATAAAAACAGTGCTCAAGCCCACCAGGAAAATGCAGCAAAGCCTGAGATCTGCGAAAGATAAAAGAGGTCCTCTATCAGCTGCGGGGTATACCGTATACCATGCATCTGTGGAAACGTTTATATCGGTACCACCAAAAAATTCATGGGTACAAGGCTGAATGAACATCGGAGAAACTGTAGATTAGGTCAAATAGACAAATCGGCAGTAGCGAAACACGCGTTTAGTGAAGGAGATCATACAATACTGTTTGAAGATGTGAAACTGTGTCTCCGATCATGGATACCACAGTCGGCTTGTACGGAAGCCATAGAAATCCATAAACATGCGGAGAGCTACAACAGAAAAGAGGAGGCGATAACGCTTAACCGGATTTGGAATCCCATACTCAAAGATGCTAAAGTGGCAACAGCGCAGTGCAAATGTTACGGCCCCTAGAGACGACAAGTCACTCATTAATAAGTCAATAGCAATACCGTAACCAATAACATCCCGCTAACAGGTACGGCATGAATAGAAACTTCATTAACAGGTAATAACACTTCGACCAATAGCAGCACATCAACAAGAGTGTCGAACTACCTGAATCATCATAAATACAACCTACGAACCACAGTCATCGGTGAATCATTAAGATGAATAAACCTCTGAATAAGCCAGACACTCTGGCAAAACGTTAGAATGCAGTTCCAAACTACAGCGGCCTTCAAACCCGAATGAAAATAGTAACATTGAAAATTTCAGCCGGGAAAGTTTCATTGAAAAAAAAAGGTAATAATGATGTAGATAATGTACTAAAAACTGAGAAATTATTTGGAAGATCCTAGGTAGCAGTCATCACACCCCTCCCTCAGCAATCTACGGTATTGATCAGATAAAAAATAATAGAATCGTTGGTCTTAATATTTATATATTGATTCAGGTTACGCTATGCCGAACGATTTTATTATTTTTTTATTCGATCAATACCGTAGATTGCTGAGGGGAGTGGTGTGATGACTGCTACCTAGGGCCTTGCAAATTATTTTTTAGTTTTCAGTACATTATCTACATCATCAAAACATTTTTTTACTTATTTTATTTTCGAGTGGGGTGAATTACTATCCATGATAATAACTGTACAATTTTCACACTGACAATTTTATCTGAGACATTAACAGGTAATTTATGAATATGTTAATAACCGATATTTTAACAGAACAATGGTGGATGACCAAGAAAATTTAAATGTTTACGTTTATTCCATTTTGAAATCGTAGTTGTTCTCTAAAAGGTGGCAATAATGAGTGGAAATGGTTTCCTTTAGGTCAAAACTACTTTTTTGTTCGTATATTCGTGTTATCCTGATCTGTTATCCTTGTCTATCTGTGACTTGTTGTTCTTTATATGTCTTCCTAAGGAGTATCCAGTCTAATATGCATGTTATATGATGAGTTGATGTTATTTTTTGTTGGCAGTATTTTCATTTCATTTACTTACTTGTCGTTAGTTAATAACTATGACATATGAAGAACAAGTCACGGGTCTACAACGTAGCATGCCCAAAAGTTCATATAGGAAGGACTTCAAGAAATTTCAAAATGAGGTTTGGCGAACACAAAAAAAGTTTTGAGCATACAGAAAATGAGGAACAAAAAACATGAATTGAACCTGCTGAAATCTTGGGAAACGTGAACGTTACATTTTTTTCGAACGACCAACAAGGAGGTAATCATTCACCATTGTTGAACTCATTTTCATAAAATTCCGATAATCAAGAGATTGATGAATTACCTGTTGTTCTAGAAGAACTATACTGTATTCTAATTGTTTTTCAAAATCTACCTGTTTTGTCAGAAATAATAATAATAATAATATGTTTATTATCGCATACACTGACATACATTACATAGAGTGCTATCGAAAATAAACAAGATATTCACAAAAGCCATAGAAATATATAGCTTGTTAGTGATAAGGATACATTGTAATCAACTATATAAATACTTAATCTAACAGTATGATGATGAATGATGAATTAATCAATAACCTTATTAACAGAGACAGTAGTTTCAGACAGAATACATAGTTATTTTCGTCTGCTCAACAAATGCTTAAGTTAAATTGCTGTTTTAAATAGTTTGATTAACAAAATCAGAGAAGAAAGCTCTTTTGGTATTCAGAATGAATTTCCTTACTTCTCTCTTAAACATGTGAGAAGTGTTGATATTTTTTATTTTTTCTGGTAATATTTGGTATAAGCGTGGTCCGAGATATGTTGCATTTTTTTGTCCTATGGTTTTGTCGAATATCACATACATTCGCTTCTTTAAATGAGGCAGCAGTTGGATGAGTTTTTTTGCTATTAATCATAATCTTCAGTATCCATTTTTGTATGACAGAAATAATCATTCACATAATCAGGTTATTTTGGCATGAACTGTAAATAATTAACATACTTATGAATGACCTGTTATTTTAGAAGTAATATTGCATTATAATTGTTTTTACCTGTTTTACCAAAATCAGTCATCTATCTAATTAAGTTTTGTAATTACCTACTGTTATATAAAGTAGTAATTCGAAGTACCAGTATAACTTGATAAAGCTCAAATAAAATCTTCAGTGTGAAAAAGGTATAATTATTATCATGGATAGTATTATTAATTTTCATAAAGTAAGGGGTCAGAGTTTTCATAAAATGAGGCAAAGTCAACCCATCTTAGCCCATATCATTTCATCATATTTATATCATGGTAGTGATAAAATCATCTAGGGTAAGAGCTACATCCCTCAAACCCCTCAAATCACCAATCTTTCATTGAAAAGAGTTTTATAAAATAACATTCGACAGTTTCGATGCTCGTTTAAACTATCACCTCAACCATCGACTTTCAATTGAAATTTGTTGCACATACCTTGCTTTACAATGGAAAACTCACAAGTCTCAGTGTTAAAATATTTTGATTTCAATAAAGCTGTTCAAATTGCTTGAAATTTCGTCACAATGCGAAACTGAAAATGCCAAATTTTGGACCTCCCGAAAAACGTTCCCCTGGCGGTAATTAGTGGCATCAGATACTGAGCGTGAAACAAATATAAGTTCAGGGATACCAGGGACCATTCGAAATTACCTATGTACAAATATAAGTTATCCAGCTTGAGTTCAAAGTTGAACTGACCGATCCCGAATTATTTTCAAAATTGTATCAAAGCTATTTTTTCGGATTTTTTGGCCGTGATTTGCAAGATTTTATTTCTAACATTTCGTATACAATAGCGGTGGGCATTATCAAAAGCCATGATGCAACGGATGGAGTGTCCTAGTTGCCTTAACAGTGCCTACACTACATTGGTCGGAGAATACCTTCTCGATTTTATTCCATCGTTGGCGTGGTTCATTCTTTCCTATTAGTTGAGTAAAACGGCCTGATTCGTGCACAGTTTAGTACCGGTAGCCAAATACGATCATTATTCATTTCTCTTTCCTTTTGGTTGAAACTATCTACGAATGACTGAACTGTATGGTGTTATTCTTGTTCAATTTGCTTGTTGATTTGTCGTAATATATTCAGCACGAAGAGGTTGAGTTGTTCTGCGCCTTCGTCTCTTCTGGATGCACTTTTCGAGAGATTATGCTCACCCTCTCTCACTCACTGATCGATTTCACTTTTGCTCAGCTTTCCAAAATTTTCAGTGTGGAATCAAGAATCGTTTGGTTTCACATTGAACCTCGCTAAGGATTTCAGGTTCATCATTCAGCGCAGAATTCGCGGCCTGGCATTTCTCTTGGCGACCATGACTAGTTCGTTCTGAGAATCGATTGAATTTTTTCATAATATCCTGTAGTGTTGAGCTGGAAACATCATGAGAAAAATAGGAAGTCGGGACGTTGATCAAATTTTCGGATAAACCGATGCGTTCCTTTCTATTTGCAGTATTGTTCGAAGAAGTCGTGTATTATCGGAGCGAGCCTAATATCATCAGAATTCAAGCTCATGGAGGACTTTCTTTTCACTAAGTGATGATAATTTTTCACTATAAATCTACTCGTCTCAATGTTCGCTACGTACAACTCAACTGTATTATCATTTTCTATCAAGTTATTAATGTAGCTTTGGAAATTGTCCTTGTTTTCGTAGAATGGAGCTTTAACGTTAGTAGCCTGAGAGAGACTGCTTTATCTCATTAGTAATGCTTCGGAAAACAAATCCTTTTGTTATATTTCATTATCGATCGAATCATAGGTTCTTGTCCGGATTTACGCAGTTGTTAACACCATTCACTTTTTCACTGGGTCCGCTCCAAATATCATCTAATTCATGAATTCTCACTATATATTATTTTGTCTCTAGTGATTCGAATCAACCTTATTCTCATCCTTGGTAGAGTTTTTTTCGTGGGGTCATTTGTTAGCCACAGAGAGATTACGGGCAGAAGTTCTGAAATTCATTTTGGGTACTGTAACCTTGTCATATTCCAACTAACACCTCTCAGTTTCCATCATTTCTTTTGAATTTGCACTTCTGAAAGCAATATATGAACCTTTACCTGCATTTCCAATCAATATCCAACGATTTTCCTAATATCATCATCGTGAAGAACGGTCTTCTCGACCGTATTGTATCGGTTATTCAAACCCAATACTAACTCATCATTAGTAGTATCTAAATAATGATGTTCAATCGATAATTGATAACAGTTCTTTTCGTGTATTGTCGAGTCCTTTTTGAGATTGTCTGTCATCGTCTACGGCATAATCTTCCTCCTCATTATCGGCAAAGCTTCCTTGACACTTTCACACCTCATTTTGTTCTCCATAGAATGTCTCTGTCTCTTGTAGAATACTCTGGAAAATTATTGTGTGATGTGCTCAAAATGTCAGGAAATGCCAATACTGAGTAGGAATCGTTGAAATTGTGGATTTTCGAATGTTGTGGGAAAGTACCGAAAGTCGGGGAATAGTTACTGAAAACATTAGACCGGGTGGCCAAAACGTTAGTCAAAACCTTCAAGCTTCGATTCTCGAAGGATTCCAATGGAAAACGATTAGGGCTAGATGAGCAGAGTCTCACAGGAAATAAATAATCGGATTTCCAATAGTTTGGATTGTTTCTCCGTGCGACAGCTTTCACTGATGGAGTCTTCAGCACAAAAAGTACCTCGAGAATTAAACCTCATGTGAAGAACGTTCAACATTTGAAACCGTATAACTTCGTTTCTCGCAGTTTACTGGCGGAAAATGCAAAGTGTTTTCTCCATAGCATCTAATAACAAACAGGTTCCAAGTTGGAAGTTTTTTTGACGTTAGCTCCCAGTATCACTTTGCCATCAAGAGTGCGTAACTTCTTATTAGAACTGGGCTAGTTGTCGATATCAGTCATTTGCTCGCATAAACCATGGTCTGTTTGGAATAAATCCTACATACACCTCAAGATACTCCGTTCTTGTAGATACTGTCTTGGTGATGTTCATCAGAAGGTGGAGTCACAAACCCCTTGAACATTTCGTAAATGTCTCCTAGTTTCCTACTGAAAAAATCAGTTTGCGTTTCTGACAACACAGTTGGCAGATGAAAGACTTGTCCTTCATTCACAAGTCATCTTTTTAAACGACTCTGCATTGTTATCATTTTTGTGATTATTATCTGCTAGGCATATTTTTCGGGCGATTTAATTTTCTACCAACTTCACATAAATGATTCTTATCTTTACTTGTCATACCTGAGAATGTAACTATCGTGATTCATGCCGAGGATATGAATCATTCTCCGTATTGGTAGTCACTATCAGCAGTACTCTCTCATGAAATGAGCACGTCAGAATTATTGCAATAGCATTGCAAAAACGTGGCTTTCTTTTTTGATTCAGAAGTTGTCCTCTCCTCTCGAACATGAAATATCCGCGGTTATACCAGCTCGCAGCAGATATCTTGGTCAGACAAATGCAAAATGCTGTCGTTTTCCATTCTTTTCATGAACTCAGAGCACATGATTTTGGATGTATCTAAGCTTGAATGTACTCGTATTGCAGCAATATCTACCTATTTAATATTTTTGGAATTTTTGCTACCAAAATGAAATTTATCTCATTTTTGTGTGATTTTCAATGCCGTAAATAATAAAAAATTCGAGCAAATCAGTCCTACGAAATGACTGCTGAAAGATTTGTCTGGTAAATTTATCTGAACTGTGGATGGTCCCACTTGACGTAATATTCAACTACTATGTTTTGCTACTCAACACCAGCTTTATGTTTTAATCTTTGGAAACTGTAATAATCATATCAACATCCATGAATAAACATTTCTTTTTGAGTTAGGATAAAGATGAGTTCTTACAGAATTCTAATCCTAACACTGTGGTGGTGCAACAAATTTCAATAGGAAGTTTAACTTGTGAATATTTTTCAGATAGTGTCCACAATTGTACTCCTTTACTACAGTGTACGTGTAATCCACGACCTCTAATAGAACTTTAGAATATAAATTTAAAGATATACTAGTTCATTGTTACCTTAATTTTATTAATAACACTTCTGAAAAGTAATACCTAATACAATTTCAAATATAACAATCGACATGAAATCATTGACATGAATTTGTTAACGAAAAACAAATCTTTCATCTGCCAACTATGTTGTTAGAAACGCAAACTGATTTTTCCAGTACAAAACTAGGAGACATTCATTAAATGTTCAAAGGGGTTTGTAACTCCACCTTCTGATGACCAAGATGACAGGATCTACAAGAACGGAGTACCTTGAGGTGTATGTAGGATTTATTCCAAACAAACCATGGTTTATGCGAGCAAATGCCGGATACTGACAACTAAACCAGTTCTTACAAGAAGTTACGCACTCTTGATGGCAAAGTGATACTGGGAGCTGACGACAAAGAAAACTTCAAACTTGGAACCTGATTGTTGTTGGAGGCCATGGAGAAAACACGTTGCATTTTCCGCCAGGAAACTGTGAGAAACGAAGTTATAAGGTTTCAAATGTTGAACGTTCTCCACATGGGGTTTAATTTTCGATGTACTTTTTGTGCTGAAGACTCCATCAGTGAAAGCTGTCGCACGGAGAACCAATCCAAACTATTGGAATTTCGTTTATTCATTTCCTGTGAGACTCTGCTCATCTAGTTCTAATCTTTTTCCATTGGAATCCTTCGAGAATCGAAACTTGAAGGTTTTGACTAATGATTTGGCCACCCAGTCTAGTGTTTTGAGTAACTATTCGCCGACTTTCGGTACTTTTCCACAACATTCGAAAATCCACAATTTCAACGGTTCCTACTCAGCGTTGGCATCCCCTGACATTTTGAGCACATCTCACAATAATTTTCCAGAATGTTCTACAAGAGACAGAGAGAGAGCCATTCTGTGGAGAACAGAATGAGGTGCGAAAGTGTCAAGGAAGCTTTGCCGATAATGAGGAGGAAGATTGTGCCGTAGACGATGACAGACAATCTCAAAAAGGACTCGACAATACACGAAAAGAACTGTTATCAATTATCGATTGAACATCATTATTTAGATACTACTAATGATGAGTTAGTATTGGGTTTGAATAACCGATACAATACGGTCGAGGAGACCGTTCTTCACGATGATGATATTAGGAAAATCGTTGGATATTGATTGGAAATGCAGGTAAAGGTTCATATATTGCTTTCAGAAGTGCAAATTCAAAAGGAATGATGGAAACTGAGAGGTGTTAGTTGGAATATGACAAGGTTACAGTACCTAAAATGAATTTCAGAACTTCTGCCCGTAATCTCTCTGTGGCTAACAAAAGATCCCACGAAAAAAATTCTACCAAGGATGAGAATAAGGTTGATTCAAATCACTAGAGACAAAATAATATATAGTGAGAATTCATGAATTAGATGATATTTGGAGCGGACCCAGTGAAAAAGTGAATGGTGTTAACAACTGCGTAAATCCGGACAAGAACCTTTGATTCGATCGATAATGAAATGTAACAGAAGAATTTGTTTTCCCGAAGCATTACTAATGAGATATAGCAGTCAGTCTCAGGCTACTAACGTTAAAGCTCCATTCTATGAAAACAAGGACAATTTCGAAAGCTACATTAATAACTTGATAGAAAATAATAATATAGTTGAGTTGTACGTGGCGAACATTGAGACGAGTAGATTTATAGTGAAAAATTATCATCACAAAGTGAAAAGAAAGTCCTCCATGAGCTTGAATTCTGATGATATTAGGCTTGCTCCGATAATACACGACTTCTTCGAACAATACTGCAGATGAAAGGAACGCATTGGTTTATCCGAAAATTTGATCAACGTCCCGACTTCCTATTCTTCTCATGATGTTTCCAGCTCAACACTCCAGGATATTATGAAAAATTCAATCGATTCTCAGAACGAACGAGTCATGGTCGCCAAGAGAAATGCCAGGCCGCGAATTCTGCGTTGAATGATGAACCTGAAATCCTTAGCGAGGTTCAATGTAAAACCTAACGATTCTTGATTCCACACTGAAAATTTTGGAAAGCTGAACAGAAGTGAAATCGATTAGTGAGTAAGAGAGGGTGAGTATAATTTCTCAAAAAGTGCTTTCAGAAGATGCGCAGGCGCAGAACAGCTCAACTTCTTCGTGCTGAATATATTACGACAAATCAACAAGCAAATTGAACAAGAATGACACCATACAGTTCAGTCATTCGTAGATAGTTTCAACCAAAGGGAAGGAGAAATTAACAATAATCGTGTTTGGCTACCTGTACCAAACTGTGCAGGAATCAGGCCGTTTTACTCAACTAATAGGAATGAATAAGCCACGCCCACCGATGGAATAAAACCGAGAAGACATTCTCCGACCAATGTAGTGTAGTTACTGTTAAGGCAACTAGGGCACTCCATCCGTTGCATCATGGCTTTTGATAATGTCCATCACTATTGTATACGAAATGTTAGGAATGAAATCTTGCAAATCACGGCCAACAAATCCGAAAAATAGCTTTGACACGGATTGAATATTTCTGCATAACTCTCCCCTTTATTTTTGATCATCTACCGATTCCACTGTTTTTGTTTCATGCACTGGACCTGATACCACGACATGTCATCCAGAGTAATGGAGTTCAACTTTGATGCTTGCTTCACACACCTGCCTCCATCGCCCAGTAAGCAGAAACAGGTTTTTATGAAGAGAAATCCTGTGGCCTGAACTAAGTAGGCCCACGATCAAGACAGTGTTCCCTTAGGAGAAGACAGTGGAGCAGACTAGAATTAGAACGAGTAGGTCTACTATCTACAATCTCAGACGAAGAGAGCATCAATCTCGTGGGTTACCTCAACTCCGAGCAACCAAGAACCAAGGTATTTATTGTTTCCACTGTGCTGTGTATTTTCATTTATTTGAAAATAAAACACGCATTCTTAAGGACATACTTTTATTCCAAAATCTTGGCTTCCATAAGCCAGTTCACAAAACATCCCAGCCATGGAACACACACTCTCGAAAACTTAAGGTAGGTTCACAACACACTGAATCGTAAAATGAATGTCAATGGATAGTGAAATGAATTTTTTGGCTTGAAGACAATTTGACCAACTGAACCATCAGTTTCTCTGCTTCAGTGTTACTGGTTTGAAGGCCGTCGTAGGTTGGAACTGCAGTTCCAAAATACGACGTCTTTCAAACCCAAATGGAGATAGTAACACTGAAAATCCTGGCCACGAAAGCCTTAACCAATTTATCAGTTTCTCTGCTGTCTTCTACTATTATTTGCTGTGTTTTAGTGAATTACAAATCATTGTTAATCGACTTGTAAACTACAAATAAGTTAGTTAAGAGTTTTTTCTATAACTTTTAGAGTTTTTGAAGAGTCGATTTTATATAATAATGTATCATAATTCAGTCTAGAAAGCTGATACTATATTTGTACATTGCTAAATTTTTGCAGTAAAGTCAAAACTCTCCGGTTTTTGTATCCTCACAATATATTTCAGATGCTCTTGAACTGGATACTCTTGCAAAACTATTCTCTCTTGTTTCGAACATCTATGGATTCCACTCTGTTTTTGTTTCAGGCTGTGGACCTGACACCACGACCAGTCACCCAGGAGGATCCTGCCAATGAAACAATGGAAATCTACCTGGATAATTGCCTCACAAACTTGCCTCCATCGTTCAGTGCGTTTAAAGGAAGAAGAATCCACCGTTAAGACAGTCTACCATCTATGATCTCAGAAGAAGAGAACATCAACTTTTAGGGTTCACTCTCCTTCCAAAATCAGACAAAAACTATGATATTGTTTTTCACTGAATTGTGAAGTGAATACTACTGGAAAATAAAGTTATCATTGTTTTTACCAGACTTTCATTGGGGTGAAAGCTTCCACAATCTGGAAAATAAATGAAACTAAAACAACAGAAAGTCTTCTCGGGTATGATTTAGAGCAAACTGAAAAAGTTCGCCCAGAAAAGTCACTGTTTAATATAAATTACTGAAAGGCCTGGTTAGTCACTAACTTGTACTTGTTAACTTTTCCTAACAAAGAAGATAAGTTGATGAAAAAACAATTATATATTCTGCTGTCTTCTTATCATAGGTCATATTCGGCCTATTGAGTAAATACAAATGAACATATAATGCTGTTCGAGAACACAGTTCAATTTCATATTTCCATTTTCAACCTCACGCATTAGCAAGTACAACCTTTTTCACAAACTCCGCAAAAATATATTTGTTACCCGTCAAAAACATATGCGGATTCTTCGACAATTTACTGATCAATTTTACTTTTTACAAGTTCATATTACTGTCTCTAGGGAACTCCATTCATCTTGTTGATCCAGGTTTATTGATTTTTTCATTTTGGATTGAGGTTAAGTTGAAAACTTAAACTATGAAAGCATAGAAGGGCGACAATTATCAATAGCATTATGTGACCACAATTCACACTTATGACTGTGAATTTACAATTATGAGAAAAATGTGCTTAGACATTTCAAAGATAAAATTTTGCATGATTTTTATGAAAATTGGAAACTTGAAATTAAAACCGAAGGTCGAGAAAATGCCAAAATATATAACGAGTTCCCACTGACTATATTGTACTCCTCATTTCCATATATAGATAGAAGGAATATTACTATAATCATTAGAATCAAAACCAGCCATTGGCCTACTAATGAACGTTAATATAGAATAGGTATCAAATAGTTTCTATATTATGAATGCGGTTGAATTGCCTCCCTCTATCATTATATTTATATATTTTTACTCCTTATAGCGAATACACCCGAAGAATAAAGAACAATAGATACGAATATTACCCGAGCTACAACATGATCATCAAGAATCAGACAGTTGGCATATTGCACCAAATGGAAGCAGAGCAAGAAGAGAAGAGGGAGAATGATTAGACAGCAATCTCTCCTTCTTCTTTTTCCGTTAATGGCTTCAGCTGCCAAGGCTATCCAGCCAGGTGCACAGCAATCTCTTCACATCTACATTTGTCACTTGGCAGAATGAGTGTCAGTAAATGAAAATTTGCAACCTAGCCTAACCAAAGCTATAATTAACCAATGAATTTCAAAACGTGATATGATTTCCAACTTCTAGTTGCACTAATAGAATATAACTTCGGCTAGGTTAGGTTACAGGTTAGTTTTTGTGTCATTACCAATCATATACTGAATAAATTTGCAATACATGTAGTGTGCTGATATCTATTGTTCTGGAGCGTTTTAACGCAGTTCAACTGCGAATCTGTTAATTCACACTAATAACTGTACATCGGTAGTTCGATGTCACTATCGATGAAGCTACGTTGTTAGCAAAACGCGTCAAGAATAAAAAAAAATGTGGAAACTGTTTGATTATCATCATGGATAATGTTACTGATTTTCATCAAGTAATGGGTCAGTCCATTCATGATAAATAATGGATTTATTTCATTGAAGAGGTCAATATGGAAATATATAACTCTGCTACTCTGCCATGCCATCATGTTTACATTCCTGTTCACACATGAATTGCAGTGGACTGTAAATATTCTAGAGCTGGTGCGAAAAATATTGAACTAAGTGCATGAAAACTGCACCTGTTATATTCTTAATAGAACGGTGGCGCACTAGGGCGAAACATCCAATGGAACACATACATTACACCGGTTTCGCACTAGTTTTACCAAAAGAATTACAGGTCAATTCAACTACCCATAAAATTCCACTAATAAATATGAACTGGAACTCCTCACGCCCTCTGTCAACAACGTGAGCTATTTTTTCGTGAACCCGACGTGGCAGCTATTTGAAGTTTGCGCTGAAGTCTAACCTGATCTAACCTAACATTAGTCAACAGTGTCAACCTGAAAAATAATGTACAGAGATAAAGACGAAAACAAACAATCTGAAAAAATATGAAGCTAGATTACAACCGAACAATCACCAGTGGATAAAATATTATTATAATAGTTTTTAACTCGAAGGGAACTTATTTCCCGAAGAGATTGTCTTTCAATCATGTCTTGCGCAGTTACCAAACAGTTTCGGATGTTAGAACCAGAATATGAACATTTTTACATTTACGTTCTCATCTTTAACCGAAAATGTCAAATGTCATGTCAGTCATGTCAGGTTTGTTCTGGTTCTCAGTTCGTACTGTTTCGAATCGTCCAACATCAGTGAGTCATTTGTGGACTGAAAAGGTCAATGCGACAAAATGTTCAGAATTCAGTTGGGTGACTGTTTTCTGACTGTTAAAAACAGTCTGGGCAGAGAACCAGAACAAGCCTGTCGTCAGAAACATCAAATAACATTTCAAACGCACATGCGGGCGCCATGTGCGTCGGGCGTCATGATAACGGCGCCCGGTATCATCATCAGGTTTGTTCTGGATCTAATATCCGAAACTGTTTGGAAACTACGCAAGACATAATGCGTACAAACAAAAAATCTCAAACAGTCCGAAATAGTCTCGGACAATTGGTTGAAGCAGAACGCATTTTGAGGAGACCACTGTGCCACCTATCGTATTTATGAAGAGATGAAGGCAAAAAAATGTTGATCACATCTATTTTGTTATATAGCGAATCCTTGTAGTCAGTTCAAGTGTTATCTAACCTCAATCATCGGTTATTTAAATCACATAAATAAAAAACCATCCTAGAAAATAGGCCAATCAAATTTCCACATGAATGCGCATGAGCAACGGAAACAGTTCAGCCTCGAAAGAACGATTCGGAACGGTTCAAGACAGTTTTGGACTTGGATCATTTCGCAGTCGAAACCAGAACAGAGGATTCATCAATCTGAACTTATCCTCAATAAACCGTTCTGGTTCTATATCAACTGCGCATGATCCTGACGTTCTAGGACCTGAATTTCGTAGAACCAGAACAAACCTATCGTAGTGCATTGTAGTGTAACTCATTACTCGGTCACAAAATACGTAATATCAGAACTATTGGTATAAACACTACTCATGGAACCACCGCCAGTGGCGCCAGACACTCAGTCTACGCCAACGTTGCCAAGGGTGCTCGGCTCGTGTAACGCGGTAGATTCAAAATCAAACCACGAATATTTGTTCATTTCTTCAATTTTTATTTTACATTCTTTTGGTTTATGTCTGTAGCGGGGTAGATTTACTTGTTGGGAGCGAGAGGTTGAAATTAAGTTCCAGTCCAGTGGAATATCACCGTAACAATACAATGGAGATTACGTGATATTATCGATCAAAATTACAGTAAATGTAATGTTTATTTATTGTGAATAAAGAATAATATTTCAGTAGAGTTGGTAAGATTCTCAATATTGTACGATATATAACCCAAGTGCAGATTTATTACGGAGGTTCAAAAACATGTGACAATGACAGATGATACGACAAACTTTTATGAAGAAGACCACAAGTAAAACCAAGATGAAAAATGATTTTAGTGGAATAATATGATTTTTTTCAAGAACAGGAATGAAGACAAAAAAGTAGTTGTGCTAGCAGTCAACAAAATGATGGGAAATAAAGAGTTTTCATGTACTGAACTAGGAATATTCAAAGAGTTACCAGTTAAATCGAAATTATGAATTAATTTCATCTCTGGAAAGACAAAAAAATTGAGATGTCTCTTTAAATTTGCCTGTACTTGGGTTACATGAGGTGATATCCTTCGTGTTGGTGTTTCTCTAGGTTCATTATTTATAGGGATATGCATAATATTGTGTAGTACATTGAATGTTAGATCTTGTTGTGTTTTGATTTGTATTTGTTCCTCGATAAGTGAATCATGACTTTTGAGTTTATGGATGTTTAGGTTTTCCCAGATGTCAATACGGTATCCTTTATTTTATGAGTTTGATGTTTTCTGGTGGGGAAAAGTTTTGTTTGTTTTGTATGGCGTGTGTTGTATGGCGAGGTTTTATTAAAACACAACAAGATCTAACATTCAATATACTCCACAATATAATACACATTCCTTGAAACATTGAACCTAGAGAAAATCTAACATAAAGGATATTACCTGATGTAATCCAAATACAGGCAAATTTACCTGCAGTACCTGCACTAAGGCGTTCTAACTGCATACAAGAACAAACAAGAAGATAAAACGTTCAGTTTGAGTAGAGACAAGAAGATGATAGCATAGCCTGCTATCGAAAGCGCTCGCAGTAATAAGTAGAAGTTATTAAAGCTTCATAGAATATAACTTCGGCTAGGTNATGACTGAGACGTTGATTCATTCTTTATTTACATGCGTTTTTCATTTTGGATTTTGATCATGCACATATTTTTGGACAAATTTATTATTTTATCAATATTAGATTTTCCCTTTTGATTACTGTAATAGTTCTTTGAGGACGTTTTCATTTGTGATGGGCTTCTGAATTTACATGATAAAGGCGTAGCCTAGTAGCATAGAAGTAACTTGAAACACAAAAACGTGAATCTATTTTTTTCATAGACCCTTTCTATCTTTGTTTATGTTTGATATGTGGATATCTGGCATAAGTTTACCATATATATATGAAAAAATTAGACGTTTATCAGTTTTTTAAATCTTAATAAAGAACAAATATTGTATTTGAAATGAGTTTCTCTCTCTCTCTCTCTCTCTCTCTCTCTCTCTATGTATATCTATAAGCGAATTTTCGACAATCATAGGAACTACAGTTGGGTCGACGAAAGAATACACATGCGTCATCAATGAAATACCCGATAAACACAAATTTTTATATAATATCATTCTCTTTCACAAGTGAAAATAGCAAACAAACCAGTTAACGTTTGCGTATTAAATTCTGTAGTTCAATTAAAAAATCAATCACCTCCATTATGTCATACTTGAATCAATCGTTCGACATAGAT